CACTTTGTAAGTCTGAGAAAGTCTCTGTATCAAACCAAAAGGTTTTTTTCTTAAGATAAATAAAGAAAGTAGCATGAATGATTGAGTTGCAAAGAGCTCCAAGTGTATGGCAGCCTTAAATGAACCTACCCTTCTGCCTTTGGGAATTTGATTTTTAATTTCGATTTTCCACCCTGGATCTCATTTGCAAGTTGCTACTTAATTGACTGGGGTGAATAATGTTATGAAAAGCACAAAATATAAAGGAACAAGGTAGCAATGATCATTATTCAACATCCATTCAACAAGTATTTACTGAGGCTCAGTATATGCTCAGTGCAGAGCCACGGTCCTGGGTGCAGCAGTGAGAAGAGATGGCCTCGGGGCAGATAGCCTGGTCAGTGCAGAAACTCTGCTAAAACCCAAGTTTTGGTTAGATTGAATTCAGTGGCATCTCTTAAGAAGGGGAACAATCCCATCCTTTTGGAGATTTTGAGAGCATTAAGTGACATAATACACATTATGGTAGCATAAATGCTGTGTTGAAATCATTCTGTCAGTACTTAGTAATACATACAAAGAACAATTAAACCTATTATATACAAATAAGTCAGGGAAAATGTATGAATCCTAGCAAATACAGCAAAGAATTGGTAGCACACATCCACCCTTATACTCCCTGAATGACTTTAGAGCAGAGAAAGACTCTTGAAATAAGTCTTTATCAAAAAACACTTTGAAATTATACTCACCAATGTGTTCAAACTACATACACTATTGAGTCTTGCCTTATGGAATAGTGGGAAGAGAAGAAGATTTGGCATCTGAAGATCTTCAGTTTCATTTTCTTATCTATAAAATGATAATAGGAATGGGACATATCTATAGGGTTGCTATGGCTCTCAGAAAGGATCATCTCCATAAAATAACTTGGAAATACAGATATAATCATTCAAATATAAGCCATTATTTTTGATTAATCAAGATATAGCTATCTGATGCATTTTTTATATCCACGTTTTAGATTAAGTCCCTTAATTCACAAATATCTTAGGATACAATTTGAGTTTGTGGTACATTGTCCTAAAAAGAATTTCTAACACTTGGGAAAAAATATGCGTGTGTACAGGTGTGTGAGAGTGGTGTGTGGCTTATCTACTTTTACCATGCATATCAGTTCCAGAAAATGTTTGGACTGAATGGCTAAATTGTTTGAGGCAACAAGTCTTGGGAAATATCATTAAAATTCTGAGATGCTAGCATGCAAATGTGTAATCTTAAGGGCCAAGAGTTCTTATTCAGTATGACTTCCAAAGACATGTAAATGAACTTAAAGTAGATACCCGTTCCAGTCCCAAGACTTTATGATTTTATGATTATATAATATAACCCCAAAAGCCTTCCATGAAGGGAAGATGGTTCTAAACTGGAGACCCTTGATCTTCTAAGCTCTTTGACAGATCTGGGCATTTACATCTGGATATAAAAGCCATGGAAAGCTGGTCTGCTGTATACACTAGAGGGGGAATTTGGAGCTCCCAGAACACTTTGCAAGAACAGGGTGAGGAGCAGAGATGGGAGAGAGAGGAAGAATGAAGGGAAGAACTCAAATCTTAGTGAAATCTATCAACCCCAAAGATTATTGGTGTAGAAAAATCTCTGGTAGAAACTCATGACAGATAGAATCTAGGTCACTTTTTAAGAGTGATGAGGTAGCATACACGGAACCAGGACTCCAGGATACAGAGGATGTTACAAGATTTTAAGTCCCTGAAATGCTGAAGAAGGGTTTTGGACTTTCACAGACTGTGGGAACTGGTATTTGAACAAATTACACCTAGACTTTCAAGGGGGCAAAGAGGCCTCAGCTTATTCGCGACTTACACAAAAGAGACATATATCTATTTATTTTATGAAGTTTGAAACTGCCTGCTTCCAAAAGAAGAAACAATACCTTTGTTGGACTGTTTCGTATACTATAACTTTACAAAGGGGAGTTAACCTAGACCAGCAAATCTCAGATTTGAAGATGTGGGGAAAGGATGGGGTGGGAATGAGGAGGTGGGAGGGGTGAGCTTGCCCTCAGGGGAGATGTGTTCATGTCTAGAAATATTTGGGGTTGTCACAGTTGAGGGTTGCTAGTGGCACCTTGAGGGTAGAGGGCAAGGATGTTGCTCATTGTACGATGTACAGAACAGACCCCATAATGGAGACTATCTGACCGCCAACGTGAATTGTGCTGAGCTGAGAAACCCTGACATAGGCCAACCTATCATTTCACAAATGAGAAACTGAACATCAGAGAAGGTCAGTAACAGGTGCCAAGTCACACAGTGAGCAAGAAGTCCTTGCCTCCTCAAGAGCTGGAAGGGATAGGTCCTTCATCATTTCCCACCATACCATGTAACTTCTAAAAGCTAAAAATGGAACTGCTGGAACACAAAGCTTCTTATGGACAAGTTTAGGCTGAAGATGTACTAAACACTAGCATAAATCCTTAAAACACAGTACTGCTTACATTGAAAAATCTGGGCCACCAGAAAAATAGAGAATTCAGTTACATAACATACATTTGACTGTATGTAGTGAAAACTATTTTCATGATATTTAACCCAAGTTCTACCCAGGCTAGTGGTTCTCAGACTTTAGCATGCTTCACAGCCACCTGCTGGACTTATTAAAAGACAAGTTGCCCCCCTCAGCCCCTGAGAATCTGCATTCATAACAAGCTTTCAGGTGCTGCTCCTGGTACTCAGGAGACCACGCTTTGAGAACCACTGGCCTAGCATTTGGTAGCTACTCAATCAATGTTGGCTCAATATCATAAGCATTTAATAATATAATCGCACCAAAAAATGTAATCTCCCTTTGGCGTAGATTAATTACTAATGCTACTTCACACTGAGAAGAAAATCATCTAGAGACGGCAGAACCAAAACTAACTTTAGCCTCATTTAACCCATATCTTTTACTTTAGAAATGAACAAGTGAATATAACCATTTAAGTTCCATTAACAGAGAAAAGAATCACTATTAAAAATAGATTTTGAAACAAAAACCATCTATAGATATCTGAGCACTGACAGTGTTATTGTAAAGCCATATGAACTAAAGATTGTAAGTATGACTAAGTATGTATGTATTGTTTTTCACATTCTGTGTGTGAGGATTATTCTGGATGCCAAACTGAGTAAAGCCTGGTCTGATTGGGGCTCTTATGCCAAGCTAGGTCTATGGGGAAAATGCCTATTGACATTAGTAATATAAAAATCAGGCCCTGAGGGACCATAACTGTCTCTTCAAGTTATTTGGGAAAACACGTACATGTTTAATCAATTAAATATAGCATAAAATGATAAGCAATATATTCCCGACATAAATAATCAATGTACTACTGTTAATCATTATTAACAAGTGAAAGGTACCCAGAAGGAAATTTATTTCGCCAACATTCATTTGCATTCCTTTAATTTAATAAAAAATAATGTAAGAAATTGCAGATTCTTAAAAACTACCTGTTTGCCTAGTGATTGAGTGTGCTATCATTGATTGCCCCGTGCCAGTCCTCATTTATGGACACTGAATATTCAGCCTCCCATTTACCTCTTTAACACCACGAGACACTTTACACAGCCTTTATTTTCCTAACTCATGACATCCTGTCCGAAGCACTGAACTTCTCCAGCCAAGGGCACCCAGGAAGCCGAACCCTCTCAAATGTGCTGCTCCTGTCTTGAACTTTTTAAATACCCACCCATCTTTTAAATTAGGTGCCATCTGTTGTATCAGGATCTCTGGTTAAGTCTTATTAAAATTCCTTGCCAGTATCACACCGCTGCTGCAGTCTTACCCTGCTACTTCTCCAGGCTCTTCTGCAGTGTTCCGTAAGAGCCTGCTATCCTAACTAATTCCGGGACCAGGACCCGGGGTGAGAGTCTAAAACAGAATCAGTGCTATGCTGTTTCTAATTTTACTCACAGAGTGAATAACTGTTCATGTCCAATCTGGGATCATGCCTCCACGTCCCCTGAACACAGGACAGTCTGAACCAGAGCAGTTAGCCCGGCATCAGCAGGGCCAGCTAGTATCAAATGGCGCTTTTACTGCAGGATTCACCTTGGAACAAAGTAGGCAGGATTTATTATCTGTTGAAGTCACATCACTGCCAGGTTATGACGCCTTCACTCTCATATTGTCACAAACAATCACCACAGAAGACAAACGTGGGAAAACATCAAGCTTATTTACAAGGAAAGCAAATTTGCCATCAGACAAGGGCAACAGAACAGCCAAGGACTGCAGTAAATCTCTGAGAGCTAATAGTGCTTTCCAGCAACACCTCCCAGCAAATGGATTGTATTCAGAGTTTAAACAGCCACAGCAACATTCATTCCTCGATGGCTAGAGAAGGTGCTTGACAAGCAAATCCTAATTTATGATTCATTTACTCCCCGACTGTCTTAAAACTAGGACTGCTACCAGACTTCCTATGCTTATTCAAGCATGCTGACAAAACTGGACTCCCTTTGTAATTTCTCTCGGCACCTCTCAGCATGGCTGACGGGCATCTGCCAAGACTAGAGCATACAAACCACTGAATCATGCAAAAATATTTACCCCCAAAAGATGTAGTAAAAGCTCAGCTTCCTCCAGCTTCCATAGTCCCTGAAGTGTTAATCTGAAGGAAGAGTTCCATGAGTTTTCACAGGCCAGCAGTGTGTCTCCTACACTTGACCTAGACAGCCTTACATAACGAAGCGTCGGGGCTGGGGAACTCGCTGAATGTCATCACCAGCAAGAGGAAGAAGTATTGGCAGCAGCAGGCAGGCGGCAGGCTGGGAGTTTGCATGGAATCATGAAATCTTGTCTTTCTCTTTTGAAATGTTTCGGAAGGAGAGTTAAGAATAGCTCGGAAACTGGTCTTGTTGTTTTTGTGGGAAGAATGACCAGAAGCGTAAAAGCTAAATTTTGCAGCAAGTGCAAGGCACTGCTCTCAGTGCTTGCAGTAAAGCTAACAGAGTGAATGGCTGTCTATAAAGTACTGAGCCATGACACCTAAGATGAAGGGAATGGTAAAGCAGAGTAATGACTCAAAGCTGCCACCGAGAGCTTCTGACTACCTTTAACTCATTGTGGTGAGTAGAGGGGAATATGTGTCTGTGTAATAGAAATAATAGTTGGAGGTGTGAGCTGGTTTGCAGGATAACTGTAAGAGTGGTAAAGAGTGTTTATGTTCCTTCAACATCTTTTCGCAAGCAAGACAATGGCATTTGAAATCTTATCAAATTCAGAAGGGGGTGGGTTAAACTGGTCATGCTTAATGAATTTCAGTTCAGGTATTTTCATGAAAGACATAAGCAAATCAGGTTAGCTCTCTATGGTGGTGGGCAGGTAACTGTCAGGTGTGTTCATTAATTACTGCCATTGTTGATACTAAAACGATAGGAAGTTCAGCATTCAGATTTTGTATACAATGAATCTTTCCTTAGAGTTTGAAAGCAGTTTCTCAGAATGGGGCAAGAAGATCACTGTGCTTTTAGATAAGGTTTGTTACAGTCACTCCTAGATATCTGGAGGATACTTTTAAACAGCAAATTAAAAACAGCATATTCTCCATCTAATTTTCATTCAATTATCTCAAGTGTGTGCAATGCAAGTTGTGTTCTTAAAAGCTAGAAATAATAAAACCAGCCCTATATTCTGATCCTGAGTACAATGATATGACATTATTAATATAAAATGATATTATATTGTTTAATTATATATAAAATTGTGGTTTGATACGGGATGTGGGCTAAGATGTATAATTCCCGAGGCAACAGAAATAGAGAAGCCATGCATGATTTAAAAATAATATTAATGTGCTGCTCTTAGCTGGGAAACTTATCTACTAATGCATCACACTGAGAATAGAGCAGGGAAATAAGAGAATTTTAGGACTATGGAACAACACGATGATCTAATTCCACTACATCATTTAACCCCTATGGAAACTGAGGTCAAAATAAGTTAAATGATGTGTTTAAGGTGACTCCAAAGAAGAGGTGAATGGAATGTGGTTTTTCTGATCCTCACTCATGTTTTGCCTACCATCCTGCAGTAAACAGTTGTCCTCTAGTACTGGTGTAAAGGCCTGATGTTCAATGATTTTTTTTTTAATCATAGAAATGACAGAAAACAAGAGTAGAGTAGCACAAAATATCTGCTATTAGGAACAGTCTGAATTTAGAAAATCAATTTCGGCAGTGGATGGAATGAAAAAATTTTACTCAAGCATTTCTCACAATCATAATGAACATATTGGCACAATATTTAATTAAAATTTTCAAATTATGAAATGGTGTTCTGAACATGTGACAACAGACACTACGCTGGTAGTTTAGATCTTTTTATTTTGTTAATGTTGATTGTGGAGCTAGGCTTGTCCCTGACTTGGAGGGCTAATGTACATGAAATAAACAACCCAGAGAAAGCAAAGAACTGGAAAACAGTGTTTTAAAAAAGATTTGGTCTTATTACTTTCAAGTAAACTGAGCTCTTTGTCAGGTACTTTTTTGATCCTTGCCTCTCTGCCCCCAGCACTGTGCTTACTGGAAACCTCAGTAAATGTTTACTGCATAAATAAATGGAGGGATGAAATGCATTCAAGATGATCCATAAATGAGAGTTGCATATGATCTTCCTTAGTAGTCTTCCTTGGTGTCATTTTAAAGAGCACAGAAGAAGACTTATGAATATACCAGTTTGATAACTGCCAAAGTAAATGAGTGCTTCTGAGATACTTGTTTGGAAACAGTTCTTATTTAAAAAAAAAAAAACAAAAAAACAAAAACAAAACAAAACAAAACAAATCAACAGCATTCTCCTTGCAGTCTAGTTGGATCAACTTGGTATAGGTTTGGCAGCTCCTAAGAGATAATCCAATTTTCATTAGATTAACCGAATAGAGGTTTTGTTTTTCTCAAGTGACGTTAAGTGACATTAAGGTAGGACTTCACAGTCCTGGCAAGATCCACAGTCTTCAGGCGTCTAAGCTAATTTTTCCTTCCTTCTAGCCATCTTTAGCACATGGCTGTTATCCTCTGATTTGTTGCCTTGTGGTGTCAAAATGGCTGCCTCTCCTCCAGCAGCCTGAGTAGATTTCAGGCAGGAAGGTAGGAAGTGCAAAGGACAAAGCACAAGTTCCAGGTAAATCAGCTTTCTCCAAGAGCTTTCCTGATTACACACACATTGAGACTTATTCTAATGGGTCATAACTGTGAGAAATGCCACTCTTCCTAGTGAGGAGTCTTCAAATAATTGTCTTTTTAGCTGAGCTTATTGCATTTCCCAGTTGAGCTGGGTTCTGTTTTTAAGGCAAATGGGGTTGCTTCCCCAGTATCCATTTTCCCTTAGTATATACTTTTGGTAGTTCTGGTAAAATCCTAAAGCATTTGGCATGATCGTTTAGTCTAAGTTGATTTATCTTCCAAAAGAAGGAAAAATCTTCTCATTTTATATCCAGATCTTCTATGGAAAAAATTATTCTCCTTTTGCAATGGAACATTACTTGGGTAGCAATGGATTTATAATTACATTGGTGTCAAATAGATGCAAAGAGAAAGCTGCAAACAAACTTTCCAGAATGAGAAAAGAAAATAATTCCATATGCCATTTACCCCATATCCACCCCCAAAATAAGGTTGTCTGAAGTAGTTTCTTTCTGAAAAGATTCTGACTATAGAAGAATGAATGGATACTGAATTAAAGCTCTAATCTGTGAAATTTCTGCAATTGCTAAGTAAAATGGTGTCTCACTAATGTAGAAGAGAGGCTTTCGCTTTGTTTTTTTTTTTTTAGTTTCGCGTGTTGTCTTGCTGGAATTAGCTAGATGAAAAGCATGTGGCTCTTCCTGCTGAGCCATGGAAAGATTATGCGACATATTCCAATTAGGTCACAAGAGTGTCTCTCTAAACAAGCTGTTCTTTATATTGGGACAAGGAATAATATGGACATCTTTAAAAGGACCTGGAACAGGATGGTTCCCCAGATCAAAAGTTTCACTTGAAACATGTAGAAAATTCCTGGCCAGACTGGGTTAGAAATTCTCTGATTTTAGGAGGAAAAATGATGGCATTTTTAGTTTCTATCAAACTCAACTTTTATATGGAAGATAGTTGACTTTGAACCCAAGTCACAAGCACCGTGAAATAACCTATTTGGGGGGGAAAAAATGGAATATTATGCTAGCTTCTACTATACTGCAAAGCCACATGGAACATGGTGCTCATTTCAGTCTCTTAACAGGAATAGAGGAAATTCTTTGCAGAAAAGAAGACTATATCCAGCCTGACTGAAGACAGCCAATTAAAGTATATTTAGTATCCAGAGGGTATGAGTTTTACAAGTCACAAACTCAAGGGAGAACAAAACTGGAAATTTCTCTTTACCTATAAATTAATTTAATTTCTATTTTAATGTCCCGCTTTTGCCTAATGGCAGAAAATTTAATTATTTCTAGGTCAGCTCAATTGCTTTAGTACTTTTTCAGTTATCTCGGGTTTAGCTCAGTAAAATGTAAGATTTTTATCTTTGTCCTTTATATTGATTAGAATGACACTAGTTTCAGCAACAAATATACCCAAAAGTATTAGTGGCTTAACACAATTAGATGCATTTCTTACTCATGAAAAGTTCTATGTAGTTGTTCCTGGTTGGCAGGTGGCCTTCCATGTTTTCATGTATGGATCTTGGATCCTTCTCTCTCGTGGCTCCTCTAGCCTCTAGGTACTCTGAGTCAGTCAACGGAGGGAAAAAGACTTCATGAAGAATTATATGTATCTCTTTAGCCCAGAAATGACACACACAGCTGTCTTGTATTTAAATGGTGAGGAATAGTCATGTGATCCCCTTACACACAGTGGATGGCTGAGAAATGTTCTCCCTAGCTGGGCAGCCACTTCTCAAAAAGGAGCATGTTATTGGGGTCACCAAGCTATCTCTGCCTACTTTTCATCTTGGCAGTAATAACTTAAAAAATATATCAATGATATATTCTGCCAATTATAATTGATTGGCAGAAATTGTCAAGAAATGATTTCTTGACATCAGAGAACTGAGGATTTAACCTGGAGAAAAAGAGATAGTGCTCCTTGTGTTAGTGATTGATTACATTTGGCCCCTGAAAATGGGATCACATCCTTTTTCTTCTACCCACAGAGATCAGAGAAACTGTAGTATAGATTTCCAAATCTTTCCATTGTAATACCTGGAGTTCAGGTCTAGGATTTTTACATTCTAAGTAAAATACCCCAAATTACAGCAGTCCCACATGCTTTGAGAAACATGGCTGGTCCACATGAACCTTGAGAGGTTGGTTTCTGATCCAGAAGGATCTGATCCTAGCATCCAGTGAATGATTGGCTGTCACTTGGGTATTTCAGGAAGAATGCAAGAAGACACAGGGAAGAAGGGGTTGAGCCCATACTGAAAAACCAGAATGTTCAGAAATTCTCAGTAGACGTCCTCCTGGGTCTTGTTAGCCAGAACTGTTCTATATGCACTTACAGGAACAAGAGAGAAGGCTGGGAAAGGTAGCCTTCAAGTTGGGCTAATAAATGTTTCCAACAAAACTGGGGTTCTCTTAAGGAGGAAGAAGGGGGAAAAGGATAACAATGTCTGGCTCAACTTTAATAGGTCAATTAATCTGCCGAGGTAATTATAAGCTTGTCTTCACTTCCCAGAGGGCTTAGTATCAGTGGTGTGTGTATGAGAGAGAGAGAAAAAGAGCAAAAGAGAGAGAGACTAGGTTTATTGGCGCTGTGGGGATGAGCATGAGTCCCTAGGCAATTCAGAGACTACTTTCATTTAAATGGTTCTGTAACTTGGTAGCTAGTGAACCAGAATGTCTGTAGACTTATACTTTTGCCTTTCCATATTTTTTCAGTCTTGGATTCTCTTCTGAACTTGCTAGGACATATTCAAAGTAGGTGTTCTATTTAAACTGGGAAGAAGCACCCTTTTAAAAAAGTGTCTGTTCTCCTTCCCAGCTGCCTCTCTTCATTAAACACATACTCTCCAGAGTTTCTAAGTTTTTGAGTAAAAAGGAGAATCATCTAGGTCAAAGTAGGTGCGCAGATGGGAGGATGGGAAAAGA